GGAAAGTGGGTGATGGGCATTGAAGAGGGCATCTGTTGGGATGAACACTGGGTGTTGTATGCAAACCAATCTGAAAATAAATTTCATATTAAAAATAAATAAAATAAAATAAAATAAAATACAATAAAAAGAATAGGCAACCTCCAAAAGACACTTTGTTTGTGTATTAGGTAAATTAACACATTGCTGTGGAAGAGGATATTCTTCCAGTATCTTATGTATCATCTTCTTTTTCTTTAATCTGAGACTCTTCATAGTCTACACCTTCTAATATATACAACGTAAAGAGTGGACACTTTGAATCATATTTTCTCCCATTTTGGAAGCCAAATTCCACCCTTGATATAGCTGAACATTCCTTTTCAATTATCTTTTATCTTGTTTCAATTATCTTGTTTATACCTCTTATAGACAGCCCAATTATCTCTGCTAGAGTTTTGGCTGATGAGCTGTAGACTAATTTTCTAAAGCTTAAATTGTGGAAGTATAACAATCCAAAAATTTGTGTACATGTTTCTAAGTCATTCAAAATGATGTTTTAAAAGATTCCTATTTGCTTTAATATTTACAAGCTCTGAGTGTAAATCTCAGCGAGTTGGTATTCCAGATAATAAAGCAGCACACAACTTGCATTGTACCTACTTTTAGTAGGTATTTGTAATTAAATATCAGTGCTATTTCCATTCAATAAGAAGTGTATAGAATGCAGATTCTGGGATTATTAACATTTACTAGGTTTTAGACTTTTGTGTTCTCATATACCTAGCACTGTTAAGCTTAGATAATGAGAGACTCGGTATAAAATGGCTAAGATTTCACTCTCATGGTCACACTACAAATTAATATCTGGAGTCACGTTGCTGTCGGAAATAAAATGAGCCTTGGAAGAAGGCTATGGCATGATGTTTGAAACATCACCACACAGTTCACTGCAAGAAATCGCCTTTCATATCATTCCAATATTGTTACAGTCTCTTTGTAAAATAAAATTGGCTAGGAGGTGAACTGCTTCTTATTCTGTTATTCTGCTTGTATGAACCACCCCAGACACCAAAAGTCTGCTGGGGATTCCAAATTTACATTCCAGAATTGCAAAATGACTCCCTGAGCTTGATGGATGTTCAAATATAGAATGAAATATTTTCACTTATTTATCTGGTTTCAGAGACATTGTTGCTCTTCTGGGATTGCATGACCTTAAACAAAAATGTATTCTAAGGTATTTTGAGTGAATAGTGTCCCCTGCATTAATAAAAATATTGAGAAACATAATCTGGATCTAGAATGCCTAGAACTCATGCAAAGGCCAGCCAGAGGCTAAAAATGGACTGATGATTAGAACCCTGGCTCTTGTCAGTTCCCACCAATACAATCTTGGACAACTTGTCTAAGTTTTTGAAATTTAATTTCCTCCTGTGTGAAGGGATTTTAATAGAATTATTACACATGAAGATTATATGATGTAATGCATGTAAAATTTAATAACACCTGCCACCTAGAAAACTTTTGGAACATTTGTTTTTAGAGTTAATTTTTAGTTTTTATTGTTGTTATCTAAATGAAAAGCATTCCTTTGTTTGTTTGTTTTCTACCCTTAACTATTTGGTGTTAGGGAATTTGGACTTCAAGAGGTATACTCTATGTATTAAAGCTGATAATCATAATAAGCATATGAAATAATTTGGAAACAACTTCCTAAGCTATGAACTTGATAAGACATTTAGGGCCACTATGTTTAAATTGTGTGTGTGAGCGTGTGTGTGTGTGTGTGTGTGTGTGTGTGTGTGTGTGTATGAATCTAACCATTAGCTTCAACATGGGGTAAAAAGGAAACTTAATGGGTTCCTGACAAGATAGAAAGAACATGGGATACTGGCTCTCTCTGGCACTGGAGATACTCCAGGGTAGAAAGTTGCTGAGTAGGCACTGAGACTTATCAAACTCTAATACAAAAAACCATGAAAAGCCCTTAGTGTAATAGGAGCTTTTGACGTCCCCATGTATGTCTTTGTGTCTGGGATGCACGGAAGAAATTCCAAGGGCTGTGATGGGTAAGAGGCTTGGGAAAAGCTTTCTAAAATATGCCATTTCTCACTCTCATTTTCTTGTTCCTTCTCGATTTACCCAGTTCCAGTCTACTACCAGCAGGAGGAAGTGGTAAAATGTGGGCCAGACCGGAACACGGAGCCTATGGTCACTAATAGGCCTGAGCAGTTCCCCTTCTACACTCCACATCCCTGTCTCTTCACTAAGGAGGTAAAACAGAGTGATGGAGATCCTGATAAAAGCAGTGTCTGGGGCAAATGAGGCAGGGAGAAGAGAGATTAGGCGTAAGTACATATTATAGCTCTGTCATTAGACACCCTGTATGTACCAACTCAGTCCACCTGGAGTAGTTGAAATTAGGGCATGGACTTCACCTTGTCCTCCAGGTACATCACTAGCCAAAATATTAATACAAACTCTCTGAGAAATGCAAGCATTATAATTCAAAGAAGAAGAAGAAGAAAGAACAGAAAATACTAGAAAAAAAGTAATCTAATAGAACTGACAGGTTAAGATTTTAAAATAAAAAAAAATCCCTACAAAGATAAAGACATTTTTGAAACATATTACTGGAGGGGCGCCTGGGTGTCTCAGTCGGGTGAGTGTCCGACTTTGGCTCAGGTCGTGATCTCATGGTTTGTGAGTTCAAATCCCACAACGATCTTACTCCTGTCAGCCTGTCAGCACAGACCCCTCTTTGAATCCTCTGTGTCCCTCTCTTTCTGCCCTTTCCCCACTCAGGTGTACTCTCTGACTCAAAAATAAATAGACATTAAAAAAAATAAGAAATAGAAGACTGGAACAAAAAAGAATCAACTTGAAATACTGATTTAAAAAAATTTAATTAAGGGGTGCCTGTGTGGCTCAGTCAGTTAAGCAACCAACTCTTGATC